TCAGGGGGGAGCCCATTGGTGCTCCCTTCGTCTGTTCATAAACCTGGTTGTTGAAGCTGAAGAAAGTCCTGAGGCACAATTCCAACAGCTCAGTGACGTGTTGTCGTTTAAGTTGCTGGTCCTCGTCCTCAGACTTTTCGCCGAGTAGTTCATCAATAGTGCTTACGGCGAGACCAGTTGGAATAGAGGTGAATAGGGACACCACGTCAAACGATACCATCATCTCGTCTGAATCTATTTCTAGATGCCTTATGTTCCACAAAAACTGTTCAGTCGACTTAACTGTAGATTCGGAATCATCGGTGAGGAAGCGGAACCGCTTGTAGAGCCACTTCGATGTATATATAGAGTGTAGCGGTCAAGGATTTGTGATCTACTATAACCACTACACTGGGAGTATTCGGTCTGATGAAAGAAAACAATGGGATATTAGGAGTGATTTATTAGTGCACTAGGTAAGTTTCCGCGAAGGGACTGTTTGCTTGCGTGTGCTAAATGCGTCCGTCTGGAGGGCATAACCACGAGGGACTACAGGGCAAGACAGGCTGGCCTTTGTGCGTAGGCTAGCCTTGTCCGCCAGCGTGACCTTGAATAAGCTGAGGTCAAGTCTGGGAGCTGTAGTGCTTCAGTAGAGCGTCTGTTATTTAACGAGTTTTTCGCGGCTGTTGGGATGCAGCTACTGTTGGCTAGCCAAAAAAGGAACACTGAAATAAATGCTAGGTCGAACCTAGGGGGACCGAAACAGCAGAGATTGGTGGAGATTAAATTCATTCTAATACAAGTCTGTGCGGTAGCGGCGGCACGTCATTGGAGAACAAAAATCACGAAATCTGAACTTTCTTACTTCAGTTTTATCTGAAAGAGCCAGGCGCAATCATCAAAAGAGCCACACCTGGCTCGAGAGCCAAAGGTTGCCGACCCCGGACATTGATCATAAACAGAGTGGAATCCAGGACATTCTCCTGCGGAAACCCACTGGAAACGGTTTTCCATTCCAATTTGGCATTCCTTGTACAAACATAC